TTTTTTTTTTTTTTTAATAAAAGGGTAATTTAGTATTTTAGGGGTGCGGTACGTAGTAAAATGGGTGCGGTATTCAGCAATTCAGTAAGTTTTGTCGAAGCAGATTTGTTTAATCTGACTGATAGTTAGAGCAGGGTAATTGTTATTTTACAACCTGTATTATATGGTAATTGTATTTTTGGTACTTATTCTTTATTTATTGCGAAACTACAATCCAACCTTTACGTTTTTGTAAATATAGTACCTAGTATTAACGCCAGTTGTATTTTCCGCCTATATTCTAGTCACGTGCACTTCTTTAGGGCATATAAGTAATTTCAAGACTTTTTTTTCATTTTTTTATACCAGCCCGTCCATTTATATCCTCTACTCAACCCATAACATCATTTCTCCCAATTTGAAGCCTTAAGAACCCTAATTTTATAATGTGGAGACAAACATCTGAATATATTGTGGAGGATTTATGCCATTGTGGAAAAAATGCAGTAAGGAAGATGTCTTAGTCTGAAGAAAATTGTGGCTGGAGGTACGCTGCCTGTCCGCGATTTAGGGTAAGCTCCAAATTCTTGAATTTCTACTCATCCACGAATTGATATAGAAGACTGGTGGTGGTGTTTGTCGTTGTTATTATTGTTTTGTGCTCATTATTTCTTCTCGTTTTTCTGCTTATTATTGTTGTTTTTGCTCATTATTGTTGTTTTGTGCTCATTATTCTTGGATTTCTTCACACTTTATGCTCATTATTATTATTATTATTATTATTATTATTATTTGGTATCTTACATTTTAATCTTGGCATTTCATTGAAGAAATCTGGAGGTTGCACATATTACCTGTGGATTGATCCGCCAATGTGCACAAGAGCAAGACAAATTCTTCCCGGTTTATTGAAGAAAAATGAGAAGCTTGAAGATGAACTCAAGAGAAAGAGGTTTAGTGAGAGGTGTATGTGGTTGGTTTTGGTGTTATCTTGGATGGTTGTATACCTTCTTTTAAAAAATGATGGTATGAATTGTGCTTGTATTGTATGGACTATTTAGGCTTATTATGACTCTAAGTTGTAAGTTTTTGGTCAAATTCAAATTTTCTAACTTTGTGATGAATTTGACAACTATTATGTATTAGTGTGATGAATAATAGTATAAATTCCAAATTGAATTATGGTGAGATTGACATATCCCTTTTGCCAATTTTGCTCTTTTTCCTTGTTTGCCTAAATTCATTTTTGTTCGGGTTTGTGTTATGCGTTGCAAATTGTGGAGTCACCTTATATAATCATGTTCTTATTGATTAACACTAAATGTTGGCACTTGGTAAAAGTTGTGGATCTCTTGGAGTCAGATTGATTAATGGTTTCAAGAGATGAATGATTAATAGTTTATTTTGTGTTAGAACATCTCATCTTTCATCTAAAAGGAAACAAGAAAGTTCAGTAATGAGTAAACTTTAGTTACAAAATTTTATTTTAATGTCTGTTTGAAATATTAAAGAGGAATTGTTATTAGGCCCTGTGCTTCTATATTTGATCTCCATAAGGACACAAACTCAGTCCCAAACTATTTCATGTACTGAAATTGGACTAGTCGAGATTTGAGATATGCATAAAAATAGGCATTGATTCAACATAATATGAGTTACATATCCTGCCATATCAAAAATACTACATGCTTGCCAAAACTCCATCACTACTAGTTTTAAGAGTGGCATATCCTGGCACATCAAAAGTACCACATACTTGCCAAAACTCCATCACTACTAGTTTTAAGAGTCGCATACCAAAATTCACAGAACTTCAGAGCACACTGTCCAAAACCTACCAAAACACTACAAGTTTAATGAAAGAACAAAGAACCACAAAGTAAAACATAAAGCACCATGTAACAATCAATATGATCCTAATAGTGGTGCATCCTCCTCTGTGGAAATTGTCCTAAGATGTGATCCTTGTCCTGGCGTTGTTGAGAATTTGATAGCTTCTCCAAAAAGCTTCACATTTGAATTGACCATCTTCTGAATAATCTTCTTTGTCCTGTGCACATCTTGTTCAAATAAGTCAGTTGTTGAGGACTGTTGACTTGAAACCTCTACACACCTGTTGACCTGCATAAAAAAAATTGTGAATGATTATTTTCTCTTTTGAGTTGGTTTTTTAGAAACAACTAACAAACAATATTCAATATATAAGTATTTAAAAAAACCTGCAATTTATTGTTGGTTCTAGGTTCAAGTTGTTTTTCCCTCCTGCTCTTCTTTCGAGTGGCTACATGCAAAAATAAGAAAGAATACAATAAAAATATGCTGAAAAAATAAAAAAAGGTGAAGAAAATGAACAATTATGATAAAATTTACCACCATTTTCTGTTGATTTGGAGCAGGAACATCCAGTTTTGGAGATGAATGGTGGAGTCTTTCTTCATTGGGCATCCCCTTGAATTATGATTAGGCTTCTTGCATGTTTTACAAGTCATAATCATCCCTTTCCTTGACATTTTAGAATCAACAGATTTTCTTTTCCCTTTACCTCCACCAATTTCAGCCTGTTCAGATGGGGTTTTTTTCCTAGAATAATTTTTAGGTCTCCCAGGCATATAGAAAACAACTGGGGGTATAAGAGGATCAACATCCACCATGGGCCACATATCAACATCATTTAAGGTACCCATCACATGACTGTAGGTTTGCAAATAATTTTCCTTCTTGTACCAATGGTCGACATACGCTTCAGGTTCATGGTTCATGTAATAGAAGGTAGAGATTGCATGTGGACATGGTATTCCAGTGACGTCCCATTTTCTACAAGTACAACTTTTTTCTCCCAAATGAACTCTAAATCTCTTTCCATTTGAACCCTGAACTTCAAACTCATCACATCCATTCCAATGTGCAATATAATCCATGGTCTTTTTTTTATGCACCTCCAAAAGTTCCTCAATTTTTAGGCAAATGTCCTCAATATGCTGCAACATCTCATCTCTTCTCACATAAATTCTCCTCATTAACACCATTCTGATTTCCTCCTGCATTGTAAGAATAGGCCTACTCCTTGCTCTGAGGATTAAAGAATTAAAACACTCACAAAAGTTGTTCAATAATAGATCACTTTTGGAAGTGCAAGAGAAATGTGACTTGGACCATCGTTGTGGAGGCTTTTTAACTAACCACTTAAAGGCCTTCAGATCCTCTTTCTTTAATTCAGCCATCGCAACATTGAAATCAGAAACCTTAGTAGCTCTAGCTGCTTGCCATAGAAGGTTCTTCAGTGCCAAACCTTTATGTTGTAGCTTAAAGTTTGCATACAAATGTTGTACACAAAACCTATGCTCACAACCTGGCAATAGTTGATCCACAGCATCAATCAAACCCTTTTGTTTGTATGACATTATGGTGAAGTAGAATGGGTTTTGAATGTTGAGATCCTCAATTAGTAACTGCACAAACCAGTGCCATGTTTTCTTAGTCTCTTTTTCCACAACAGCAGATGCAAAAAGATAAATGCAATTATTTGCATCAATCCCTACTGCTGAAAGCAAAATCCCACCTGTCTTTGACTTTAAATGACATCCATTCATACAAATTAGTGGTCTACAACCTTGTATGAAACCCTACTTTAAAGCATCCCAACAAATGTAGAACCTCTGAAAATATACCCCATCTGTCTTCACTTTGGATTTTATCTTCACTGTTGTTCCAGGATTGGATCTCCTAATCTCTTCAGCATATGACCATAACATGCCATACTGCTCAATGTCAGTCACATCACCAGACTCTCTAACAATTTTCTTGGTTCTTTACATCTGCCATTTGTTGAAGCATAATTTTATATCTCCTTGCATCCACAACAACATGGACTGGATCGGCCATCTTGGATCATTCCTCAACTTCTCATTATACATCTTAGCAAGAAACTTGGGAGTGGCATGTGAAACCTTCTGTTGGCGAGGGCATTTATGTGTAGCCACATAAGTCTTCACCTGAATGGTGTTCTCATTTTGCAGCTTGGATGCATAAATAACCCAAGGACATTTGCCATACTTGCACTTAGCTTGGACCTTGTATTTATGATTAATTGTAAACTGAACATCTCTACCAAGCTTGATAGAATTTTTTCTAGCAGCATCCTTACAAGAATTAGTATCTGAGAAATCCATTCCTAACTCCAGCTTGCAGTCCATCCCATCTAGAATTGGTTTTTCTTTTCTAGACTTTCTTTTCTTATCTCTACCCATTTGCTCAGTGGTAGAAGTTTCCCCAATTTTTTTCTTCTTCCTCATGTCTAGTCCCCCCCATTCCACATCATCGTCAATATTTTTTTCAAATAGTAAATCATCTTCATCAGTGGCATAATTGTTACTATCTACAAACTCATCCTCATACTCAGAATCACTACTCACATATTGCTCAACTTCAACATCACTGTCTTTCCCTTCACCTACTTTATCCCCTTCATATTCAATTAGAACATCAAAATCCCCCACAAAATCCAACCTTTCAGTAATTTCAGGAAAAGTTTCATCATTATGTTCAAGAAAAACTCCAACTGTCCTATTTTCATCAATGAAATTAACTAAATTCATTGCATCAAGATCACTTTGCACAATGACAGTATTCCTGCAATAATTAATCTCATCCAGGTTGCAATGAAATGCTTTCACTCCATGTAAACCCAACTCATCACACATGCTTACTAACTCAAGCATCGACACCTCATCCGGATCACAAAAATTAACATGACCAACACCAATATTAGCACCCATATATTGTTTGATTCCACCAATATCAACAAACTTACCAGAATGATGAAATTTGATAGTGAAAGTTTGTGAATTGGAACCTGAAAAGAAAAATAACACATGTATTCAAAAGTAAGAAATATGTTACAAATCATTTACAAAATCTTTTAATCAACATAGGGCCATGAATCTTGTTAACTAACAACCACACAAATAATAATTTAAGCATCATTACACATTGCGAAAAAAAAAAAGAAAAAAAAAACAGCTACACTTACCATAATCTGAAGGAATGATTCCATGTTGCAAAAAAGGATTAGTTGGGTCTCTAATCCTCCAACCCATATCAGGTTTCTATGTATTAAGCAATGATTTGTTCAGAAAATGAAGATTTTAGTTGAAATGGGGTGCGGGAATTAAGGCTTTGAGAGAGTATGTGTTAAGAACAAGAATTAAGAAATGAAACTTTTCATATTTGCCCTTGTCTTTAAGTGCCACACAATTATTTTTTTTTCTTTTATTTATTATATATTGGAAGACAAGAATATAGACGGAAATACTGCCGGCGTTAATATTAGGTACTACATTTACAAAATCGTAAAGGTTGGGTTGTAATTTCTCAATAAATAAAGAATAGGTACCAAAAACACAATTACCCCATAGTACAGGTTGTAAAATAACAATTACCCTTTAGAGCATGTTTGTGTATAAGATTTTTCAAAAATATTCCAACATTTTAACTCAATTATTTTTTTAACTCAACTTTAACTCAACCTCACTATTATCAATATTATCAATATAATTAAATAATATTAATCAATCAATCATACACACCACATCAACCTTAATTCATTATTCATCCACTCACATTATTTTAACTAACTATCAGTTCAAATCATCTCTCTCATACTTTTACATCAATACAATTTTAATTATTTTACTTTAGATATTATTTTAATATACCCACTAATACCTAACCATACCACCTTTTTCAAAATTAACCAAATCAAATCAAAAAATCTAAACAAAACCAAAAATTTCCATAAACCAACATGCTCTTAATTTTAACATAAATTAGTATGATACCGGTGTACTACACATATTGTTTGAAAAGAAAAAAATAAAACATAAAATAATAATAAAAAAGATACAGTTGTCATATAAAAGTGCGAAAATAAAAAATAAAAAGTCGATAATATTATCTCAAACTCTGAAAAATTTCTTTGTAAACAATATTAATAGTTTTATTTACAATTTTTCCATCCTTATCCAACATAGGATTTTCAAGCCTCTCTTGCTTTTAACTCTAGATATTGCAACATAAAATTCACCATGACTTAATACAGGATTAGGAAAATACAATCCAAGTTGGATAATGTCTGCCTTGACTTTTATTAATAGTCATTGCAAAGCAAACCATAAGTGAAAACTGTTTTCGTTGAAACTTGAATGACAATCTGACATTAGAAAGATTCATTAACATCTGTGGAAGAAGTACTTTCCTTTCTGATAGAACCTTAGCTTCAACAATGCGATCTTCAAGTTGAGTGATGACTAACCTGGATTGATCCGTGTTTCGAATCAGCATTACCGAAATACCAATATTCAATTTTAAGATGTGATTAGGAATTCCAGGACATTTAATTATATTCAAGAAGTCAATTGTTTAGACTGTATGCTGATTTTTTGAATTGACAAACGTCTTAAAAATATTGTCGGAGCTTAGATAAACCCTTCAAAAAGAATAAAATATAATTCGAGCCTAATTGTCAGTAACCACTAAACATACAGAAAAAAATTACTAAAAAATGATAAAAAAAATGTGTTAAAAAATGTATAAATAAAAAATAATACTAACCTCAAGTAACAGAGATATGACTTACGTCCAATTACATATAATTAATTATGGTATGAAATACATTCAATTATCATAAATAATATAATAGATATCAAATTAATTATAGTATGTCCTAACCTATTTAGTTGGAAATGTAATTATATTAATTTATATCCGAGCCAAAAGACGAAGCATGAAATGATGCCAAGTGAGATTTCGAAACGTGCAAGTCAGCCATTTAGACTCAGCACGTTTTGAAATTATATAAAGAGGGGATAATATCAACGCAAAACCGAAAAGAAAAGTAAAAAAAAAAAAAATCGCTCTAACGTTGTAAAAAGGCCCAAGATCTGTTTTGGGCTTAAAACTAACATAGCTGTCCAAGTTTAGAAACCAAATGAACATAACTGTCCAAGTTTAGAAAAAGAAAACAAAAAATCATGAAATATACTTTATGTTGAGAATTTCATTAACGCTAGAATTACACTTATATTTAGATAACCACCTATAAATAAAATAAAATAATAAAAAACATAAATATTTTAGAAAAAAATAANGCTCGAAGAAAGCTTATAACCTTTGATTAACTAGAAGCATCGTCAATCTACTCAGAACTTAAAGCTACATATACTGGTTTCACTGAAAATACTCCCCCCTCAAAGAAAAATAAAATAAACATAATTTCTTAAATGTAAACTTTTTTTTATACACCCAACACGAAATCAAACAATCATGAATAGAAATCAGATAACTTCTGAAGCAAGCCCCCATCAGAGCATCCAACCAAAAAAAAAGAAAAAAAGAAAGAGAGAGAACCACTTTGCTCAGGACAACTAACACCATAATGACTACGTAGAGAACACGTACGAATCTTGAAATTGCATACCGAAAGTTGCAACGAGGAACGCGCCGGCAGGAAGAAGAAACGAAGAAATGTCTTTCACGGGAGCAAGTGGAGCTTGCGCTTGACTCTGCTGATAAACTCTGCGAGAGCTACTGCCAGAGCGGGAATTGCGATCAGCAGAGCCTGCGGCCGCTGCTTTAATGAGGAACTTTTTCGACTGCAAGGTCCTCGAGGTGAAACTAACCAGTGCAAAAGGGGAGTTTACACCAGGCGCAATGCCATTAAATTTACTGCTCTTTTCGGAGCTTATGCTCCCAACCTCGGTTCTGTGTTTGTTTCGCAATCCGAAATTAATCTGAGACAGCAGAAAATCGGACCATCAAACAGAAATTACGAAGTAACGAAGGAAGAATTGAATGCTCGGATACCTTTGGATGAGAAGAGAGAGAAAGCGTTGAAGTAGACACCATTTATATACTTGAGTATAAGAATGAAAATGAAGGTGTTAAGAGTAGGGTTCGAAATGGGATGAGTGTTTTGCAAAGAACGGATAGAATGGATACAAACAAAACGGCGATTGCAGAAGAAGATTATTGATGGAGGTCGGAGGGTGATGTGGCTCCGTTTGCTTTAAAACAAATTGGGCTCCATCAATTTCAGATGGGTTTCGGAAAGAAGCCCATCCAGTTAGAAAGGGCCTATAGTTGGGTGAATGGACAAAACTGTCCACCTTTTGGAAAAAAGATAAAGAGGATACTATTGAGAATTTCATTAATGTTCCAATTGGAGTTACATTTAGATAACCCCAATAAATAAAAAAAAATATTAAAAAAAATAATTGTTTCTCTCTTCTATTCTCTCTCCACATTTCACGATTATCTTCATCTTCTTCTTTCCTTCTTCTTTTTCTTCTAAAAACATAAAAAAATAAAAATAGAACAAATCAAAACATAATTATTTTCTATTTCTATCTAATGAAATGCATTCCAAAAGTATTTCACAAAATCATAAGAAAATTTTACATAATCAATAGTTAAAAAAGTTCACATAAGGTGTGAACGAATAAAAAAATCAGCAACAAGTAAGAATCATTCAGTCGAAAAAATAAGCAAGATATTGAATAACACAAAACAATAACATAACAACATTAAAAAAGTAACAAGAAAATAACATGAACACAACTTTAATTTAGCCACATCACACCCACTCTTCATAAAAAACAGAGAAAATAACATCTATCTTATAACTCAATAATGCAGGATTCTGGAATTCTTGAAATTTTCTTAGCCACATTATATTTTTCAACTAAGTTTAATCTCCAGAAATAAAATTACCAACATATTCTCAAAAGTCAAACAATTCGCCCCAGACTAAGAACTTCAAAATAACATATACGAAAAAGCATACTTCAAACTAATCAACAAGAAAATCTCCAGTTTCTCAAGAAATCGACGGAACACATGGTTCAATCGGCTCGAAATTAATGTTCGACTGAAGGTAAGGCTTTGAGATTAGAAAGGGTTTGGCTCTACCAAATTTAAATCGAAACTTAGAGCAATATTAATTGAACTCGAATCTTTACCTTTCGCCCAAAAATTGAAAATCGGAGGTCTGTGCTAGGTCCGCACGCTGGCGCCTCGACGGCTAGACTGCGACTGGATGGCTGGCTGAAGGGTCGCCGAGGTTCGCGGTGGATCAGTCAAACGGTGGTTCGCCGGAGGAACGCGGCTGGTGGATGGCGTCAGGGTCGCTAGAGGGTCGATCTGTCATTGGTCGCGGTTGTTGTCGACGGTCGCGGATGGGAGCAGGGTCTCGTGTAGTCGCGGTTGGGATTGGGTGTAGCTATGACTTGCTGCGGCTGGCCGTAGGCTGCTGGTTGCGGCGGTTTCTGGCAATTTGATGGTTGTCGGGAACTTTTTTGGTGATAATTAATTTGCCGGGATGCGAAAAATTATACCTTATGATCTTCGAATGTATTACCCCTATACCTACTTTGAATAGTCTTGGTGGTATGACTAAATAAAACTCCCGAAACTTCCTAAATATTTCACTCGATTTTTCCACTCTTTCAAGACTAAAAATCGGATGTCATCAAGTATGGAGGAGGTGTTGGGACTTGGTGTATTTATAGGCTACATTAGGGACCCTAAGTAGGTGCTAAACATGGGCTTCACCAAATAGGATTAGGAAACCTTATGTTTTCAAAGTCCTTAACCTTGTAGAAGATCTCTTGTCTTCTAACTTTGGTAATATTCTAGAAGACGTTAGATCCTCCTACTTAAGAAAAGTCAAGAAGATAATTTAATTTATTTTTCTTATTTGAATAATAATAAAACATTCCACTAGAGTAATATTATTGATCTCCCCATTTAGCTCCAATGTATAAATAAATTTGCCCCCGTTTTATTAATTTGATTAATTAATTTAGTTGATCGATTTATCTCCCAATGTTTAAGATATAACGTCCATTAATTAATTTAATTACTGATAATTAATATCAATTAATTTCTTTTTATTCAAAGTTAGTACCACTCTGTTCTTAATTATTAGGTTGGAAATTAATCCGTCTGCAGGTTTTAACATAATAAGTCCTTCCTGAGCTCATTTCTAGGACGTCGTCAACCCAGCAAACCGGGACATAGTAATCGTAAATAATTTCAATGGAAGATCATGTAAACAGTATGATTTACCAAAATACAGAGTATATCATCCTAATTAAAATAGAAACCACCCTTGGTAAATCAAACAAATAAGTATTGAGTACATATACCCGTTTCTTGTCTTCGGATTTAAAGAACGCATCAATTACTAATGTCTAGATTATTTACTTGGTCAGTATAAAATAATCTTATCATCCGTTGGTCCATTCAATACACCCAAAGTGTACTAGCGAAATTCATCAGGCAAAGATCAACTAAATCACAATTACACTATAGCATTTCACAACAAATAGTTCAATTCCGTCTAGACTGTGAATCATTTATTATATTTTACAAGAAACTGATAATATGATCTTTTTGTTCGACACATCGAACAAATAAAGGAACTTATGCTCGCATAAATAAATAAACTTTAAACACACATACTTGACTAAAACATAATTCTCATTCAAAATGGTACTGTAAAAAACTAAAAGCTGAGCTTTTACAGTACACCCTAAAACTATCTTTAGTGCCCTTTCACGCTCAGCTTCAGGAACCAAACCCTGCTTCAGCTGAGGCAGACCGATTAAGCTGATCCCTATCTACTTACTACTGCATTCGGAATGCTTAAACCTTGATGAAGTTCACAGATTGGGGGTGCCTCTTCTCCTTCCTCAGATGGAGCCATGATTTAAACCTCTGTGTTTGTCCTTTCGACATGAAAAATATGATCGCCCACATTCCTGCTGCTCACCACAAACCGATGTTTTGCTCTAGTCTATCTTGTCCATGCACTCAGATGTCGCTCTGATGAGACCCCCCAGTTGTACGGTCAACCCATCCTTCTTAAGCTTCCTCAGGTTGCAGATCCTTTTCATTTTTCTAGATTCTTCAATGAAGGAGGGGGGTTGATATGAAGATTGAAACAATATATTATCAAGTGACAAATGTGTTGGGTGTTTCCCTACCGCAGATAACTCTTCAATTGTTGTCAGTCGCTTGCAACACTTTCCAAATGCATCAAACTCAAAATGGACTTTAGTCTCCCCTTGAATCTCGCAGTTAACAGTGGCGCCGCTTTCACCTCTATGAGTGGAAAAGAAGCGATCACGACGATTATCATGAATATAATATTAAAAATATTGGTATTGCAAGCACTTATGTGTTTCTTCCACCAGTGCGAAAGAAACATCGAAGGTCTCGCCGATCTCCAGATTTCTGGCGATCGTTGTGTCTTCTTATCTCCCGACACATAGAACCGCTCCTTTTCCATTTATGACGAGATTCAGGGAGATATGTTACCAAGCCCACATACTTATCGTCCCTTGGTGCTATATGAAAGCTTTCGGATCCTCCCTGAGATGCTTTCCACATTAAAATTGAATCCAGCTCCTCCACCGATGTAACCGACCATCCCTTTTTCTGAGAAAGAACAAGAAGAGAATGTTGTAGAAAAATATATTTTTACCGAGTACCGAATCAAAAGATTCGTTCCCCGGGTCGATCTCTCGAGGAAGGCGGTTCGGAATATAGGAATGGTACTGATAACACATAAAAGAAAAATAAACCCTAAACACTCTAATCAAGATAGTGGTTTTTAATTATCAACTACGAAATAGAATTCAAACAATGCAAAATCGAACTTAAAAGCAAAGATGAAGAGCAAAGGATAAGAAGCTAGGGCATCGAGATGATGATTCTTAAAGCAATGCAAATATCAAGCTAAAATCATTCGGTTGGATGATTCGAACAACCTAATGTCTAAAGATTAATCCTCAATAACTCTTCGTAACAAGAGGGTGCATAGACGGTAAATCACGCAAGTCACACAACACATAGACAATACGTTTCCGAACAAGTCTATTTCATACGAGCCTAGATCGATCAACTCCTCCCCTTTCGGTTCTAAGAGTTGATTAATTATCCTAGATGATTTTTGATCTACTAGTTCGGTGGATTTAAACACATCACACAAGAACGAATCATATTCAATTGGAAATCAATTGCAAATTGAAGTGTCACTCTTCGACAATATTCAACATTCAATGCACGAGAATTATAAACCCTAGTTAAGAACAACTCGCATAAATTGAACGATCAACAAGCATGATAATCACAATTAAATTTTAAACATTATCATCATCCCCTATCCCTAGTGAAACGAATTAGCTGCTCATAACGAATTCAACATAAACATTCTTCTCAACCCAAGCATTCATATTCAAGAATTAGATGAAAAGAATAACTTACGATTAATAGAGAATCGATAGTCAAATCCGACGAACAACTTAATCCGGAAAAGTAAAGAGAGAATTGGTAAAAGAACGATCAAAATCTAAGATTTTAGAGTTGGAGAAAGTGAAAAAACAATATTGGGGATTATTCCCACGAGTCTGAGGATCGTTTTAATATATAGTGCTCGAAAAACGGAGCTAAAACGAGAAAAAATGAGCAAAATAAAAAACAGAGGCTGAACGGTCGCGACCCGCAAGTTGACTCGTGAGTCGCGCAGGCTCTGTTAAAGTCACGAGTCGCGACTTTGCGCTCGCGAGTCGTGACTTTGTGCTCGTGAGCCGCGACTTTGCACTCGCGAGTCGTGACTTTGCTGTAAGCCGCGACTTTGGCTGCACTGCATAATTTTACATTTCGGGCTCGTTTGGGCTCGTCCGAACTCAGAATTGAGTTCCTTTTTTTCCTATGCGTGGCTAACGCACCCATCTATCCAGTTATGCTCTCAAAACCAACTTTTCCGGAAGAGAAAATTTGCCTGAAGCTCCTGACCTACACACCAAAAATGACAAAGCACGAAGAAAACTGGGAAAAAAAAAAATCTAAAGACTCAAAATGAAGGAAATCACATAATAAAATACGAAACGGACTAAAAACGAAAGAAACGACCTAAAATGGGGAAAAAAGAAAAGCAAAACGAGCACGAAAAATGCAACAAAAATGGGACAAACAGAGAACATAGTCGATACAAGGTACTTAGATGGATTTG